TATTTTATAATAATATGATAATTTTTTAAAATTTTTAATCAAATTTATTTTTTTTTTATTCTTGTAATTATATTTCTTTAGAGATTCTAATGAATCAGTATCTTGGGCTCTTCCATTATTACAACAATTTCGTTTTCTGGATGTTGTAACTAATTCTGATGCTTTCATCAGCAATATAGAACAACTATTAGAATCATGTCCTTCATGGTTCAAAGTGAACTCATTATGTTCTTACCTGATATTATAATTGATAAGCAACATCAAACTATTGCTGAAATTTTAAATAGAATTTTGGAAGAGAATTCTGAATTAATAAGTTTAATATTGAATTGTATGACTAATTTAAATCTTGGGAAAGAATATTTAAATGAATATAAGGAAAAAACACTAAATTTATTGAAAACAAATATTAAAGTAAATGCAATATCAGCTATTATAAAGTATGTTTTATTGCTTTCTTATTAAGTAATTAATATTATAAAAAGTATATTCTAAAAGTACAATTTCTATCTTTCTTTTATAATAATATTAATGATTTTTATAGATTTGTTTTAGAAGATTACACAAATTTAGAAATTTTTGAAAAAACATTAAAAATATTACGTGATATTGATATACAACCATTTATTGGAGAAAAAATTGAAGAGTGTTACCAAAGTCAATTAGATATTGTTAATACATTAAAAATGAATATGCTTCTTTCAAAAAATATAGTAAATGCAACTGTAATAGTTATAAAAAATATTATTAAAGATCCAAAACCATTAGATATTATTCTTCTTCTTCTTATATATTTAATGGCAGAAACAAAAAGAAAAACTGTTGAAACTATATTTAAACAACATATACGATCTGGATTTTATAGAACAAGTTTATTAAATTTGTTATATAATAATTATAAACAAGTTTGTATCATATAAAAAATATAAAGATATAGTTTTTGATTAAAATTCAAAGAATTTAAATAAAATATATTTTTATAGATCGTACAAGAATTACAACCAATTGCATTACAAATATCAAGCAATTTGTTAAAGACAGATGAACGTGTATATGTTGACTTTTCTATTGACTGGTTACGTTTACAATTTAAATGTCATAAAGAAAATGTGTTCAAACAACGAGAAATATTAGAAAGAATTATATTCCTTATGGGAGATAGTGATCAAACAATTAAAAATACTTTAACATTTCTTTGCAAAATGGTTGCAAAAGAAGAAGATAGACAATTTTTAACACCACATTGCAATCATCTTCGTATTTTACTTGAAAAAATGGATAATTTGAATTTAAAAGAAGTTGGTACATTAAATGATTTATTACAACATTTATGTACAAACTCAAATTCTATAACTGATTCCTTACGTGATGACTTATTTATTCTGCTGCAAAAACAATTATCTAATTTCAAACCACTGTATGTATTAATATTACAGAAAGAAAACTCAGATTTTCTTTAAAGTTTTTAGTATTTAAAGATTAATGAATAATTTATTAAAATTTTATTTTCATAATATATTTTAAATTATTCATTTTCTTTATTTTTTTAAGATATTAATTTTTATTATTTTATTTAGTATTATTTACTATCAGATATTATATATCTTATTGTTTTTTGTTTTTTGATATATATATCATACAAATATAGTTTTTTAATATCAATTTTATTTTTGAATAATTATATTTCAGCACAAAATCTAAAGGTGTTTTAGGGGCAGTAATGGCAATAAAACATTTAATGCAAAAGACAGAATCTGATGGAGCTTATAATTTATTTAGTAAGAACTATGAAGTACTTATATGTTTTTTTTGATTATTATAAAAAACAATTAAATATTAAATATATTAATTTTTTCTTATTTTTATAGAAACAGTATTAAATAATGTAAAAAATTGTTCAAGATCCCAAGCTCTATTTTATGATCAATTGACTTGTGTTATTTTACAAACAAAAAATATTAATAAAAAATTTATAAAAAGACTTACAGATCATATTGAAGAGGAATTTATTAATAAAAATATGATTGATAAAACAAATTACAGGTATAAAATATATACAATTTTTTATATACATAATTCACAAGACTTTTATATTATATGTTATATCTAGAGGAGATTTAGTACCTAAATTTGGATTAAATAAATCAGAAGATGAACCACAAAAATGTGTTTTAACCTTTGAAGATAAAAAATATGGAGCAATTGTACCAATTTCTTTTAAACTTCTTAGAACTTGTTATATCAGACTTAATGAAAATGAAGATTTGAATGCCATAGATTCTCTCTTAGGATGTGCAATATTAATGCCAGAAGATCTTGAAATAACAGAAAATTTCATAATAGATTTAGTAATATGTTGTATTAATTGGTAAATTAAAAATCAAATAAGTAAATAGAAATAAAACATTAATTTTAAATATATAAATTATATAAATTATTTTAGGTTTCGTGAAATAATCAATGGTTTTGTCACACAAAAAGATTCTTTGTTACAAAAACAAGTATTACAACGATTAGATAATTTAATAGCTTTACAAAGTGAATTGAATACATTATTTTCTTTGTGTGACATAAAATATCAACCATCCCCATGTTATTTTTACCAATTTCCATTACCACCATTTATAAGAATAGATAAAAAAATTGGCAAAAAAGGAAAAAAAGGAAAAAAAAAATTAAAGAAAAATGTCCTAGCCTTAATATTAAAGATTGGGAATTAGGTTCTCTGATATGTTCTAAAAATCCAATTTATTTTAGAAAGTTCGATGCAACGGTATTTATAAATATATTTATTTTATAATTTAATATTTATGTATTTAATTTAAAATAATGAAAAAATAAACATTGAATTAATATTTTTAATATTATTGAAAAATAATTATATTATAAAATAATATAAAATTAAATTATATATAATAATAATAATAATGTATAATATATTATAAATATATTATTTTTTTTTTGTTTAAATTCTTTTATATTTATTTTTATGATTGCTTCTATGATGTTTTATAGATAGTGTATTTGTTAGATTTAAAAATGGAAATGGATACATCACAATCTGTTGAACATAATATATCTGTAAAACAAGTATGTTTTATTGTTCAAGAACTTCTTGGAATTTTTGAGCATGATGCTAATGAAAAATTTATAAAGGATTTAATTGAATTATTACCAAAAATTTGTACAAAATTACGAGATATTGTGGACATTTTGAGAGAACAAAATAATTATCAAAGCAAAGAAGCTGTTCGACTATTATTATGTCTTCTAACAAAAATTTTTAATTGGAAAGGATTTGAAAGTGTTACTTATAACATATTATTACGAGGTATACTATTATATATTTATATTATAGTCATATTATAATTCATAATATATTTTAATAATTTAGATATTTCTATTTAGATGGTTTACGAATTTTAGCAAGTCAAGTTAATGAAAATAATATTACATTAAAGTCTTGCAAAGAACTTGTTACAGAATCTTGTAAATATTTTGAATCTTTATGTGATATTATTACACAAATATCATTATCAATTTCATTAATTAATATGTGCCAATCATTAATGAAACATTCTGAATCTTATACTAATCAAAATAAAGAAAAATATGGTAAGCAACATTTAACATTTTTTAATGTATAATTAAATATTTTTTATTCTAATAGATATATATTTAATTATATTAAAATGAAAATAAATATTAATGATATCTTTTAGCAAAAATGGCATTTGGGTTTTTATGTCTTCAATGGCCGGAAGATAATCATACTAGTATTCAATATAAATCAGCTGTAATTGAATTATTAAACAATTGGATCAATAATGAGCCATTCCCATTACAAACAGTTACTACAATTTTAGATTGGTTACCAAACGAAATTTCAAAGTTGGAAAAACCTCAAAATAATTTAAATAGAATACCCTCAATAACAAGAAGTAATTTTCATTTTTTATTTAAAAAAATGTTTGATGGATTAATTAATGGTATAAAAATCGCATTGCCAATGACTGAAAGGTATTACAATTATTTACAAATAAAAATTATTTTACATAAAATAAATGCCTTAATAATTAATTAATTTTGTTTATTAGAGATCCTAAAAGAATAGAAATATGGTATGAAGTTGCAGAAAACGTGCAAAAGTTAGTTCAAATATGTAAAACATTAACAATCAAAAATAATATATTGATATTTTTAAAAAATATGCCTATATTGTTAAAGTTTTTTTTAAATCTTGGAATGCCAATTTTAGAACATAATTTAAAATACCAAACAGAAGATGTAACTAAAATATTGAAAATGATGCAAGGTATAAATTTTAATTTTTTTTATTAAATATTAATAATAATAATATAGAAATATATAGTATAAATTATATATAGAATTTGTATTTTAGGAGGTACACGATATTTACACACAATTTGTTGTGATAGTGCAGAAAAGAAAGATCTTACATTAACAAAATATATTCCTATAGCAAAGTCTATATTAGAAAGATTAATTTACAGTGTAAAAGGAATGTTAGTTCTTAATAATAGTCCAGCTGCATTTTGGATGGGTAATCTTGTTAATAAAAATTTAGAAGGTCAAGAAATTTTTTCTCAGGTTTGTCAATGAATTTTTAAAATTATTTTTTAAAAATATAAATATAAATTTTATGTGTATTTAATATACATTTTATATTTTTATTCATATTTTTAGAATTTATCATCTGAAGAAAGTTCTGTACCAAATTCCAACATAATTGATGATGCAACTAATATATCATCAGATATATTAGAAAGTGATTCTAATGATGATCTTCTTGATGAAGATAATGTATCATAATTTTTTTTCATTATAAAATAATATAAAAAAAAAATTTTACTAAATATATTATTATTTTATAAAATAATATTTTTAAACATATATTTTAAACTTTTTATGAAAAATTTATATTTTTTTTATATAACTCTAAAGATTTATACATATATTAAATATAATAATATAATTAAATAAATACTATTTAAATTTATTTTTATCATTGCTATCAATTTTCACATTAATTTGTTATTAAATATTTGTCGTTTCCATGTTAAATCTGGCATAAGTGTTTCTTCAATAAATGTTATTTCATTATTTCCATTAACCAGCAATATAGAATGAGTTCTTGTACAATATCCCCAATCAGTTGATACAAAAATTGAACTATATTCTTTATATCTAGTAGGATAAGATTTTTGCAATTCTGCATCTGGTAAATATCTGTAAATAATATAATATGTAATTTATATAAAATTTATATAAAATTAATAAAAATATGTAACTTTATTAATAATTATTTAACATTTATAATTATTTAATACTATATAATATAATATTATTAATATTATATAATATAATATTTATAATTATTTAACAAATTATGCAAACCTTTTTTTTGATTTCATAAATGTCAAGAGTTCTTCAATAAGTATCGTCTGTTTTGATACCTTAACATTTTTAATAATATTTTTGAAAATTTCTTTTCCTGCTTCAACTTTTTTATATAAAACACCAAAGCCATTACTAAAACCTAGAATATTATCTTCTGCTGAAGTAGGTCCTTTTGAAGTTTGAGAATTACTAAGATATTTAACATCAGCATTTCTAAACATTTAAGTAATATTAAAAATTTAAATAATATTATATATATATATATATAATAATTTTGATTATAGTACTTTTTTTTAGTTATTTACATACTGTAAATTTAGTAAAACCAAAAGAAAAGGATTATATTGAACTTCTTTATTTTTCTTGTGTAATTGGTCTAAATATGAAGTTGCAGAATCTTTTGATATAATAAAATTAGATATTAAAAATCCTCGTCCTTGTTTTGGTATATTTGTTGAACTTTTCTCTAAACTAGATAAATTTAAAACAACACCAGCTTTTCCTGTTAATGATACTCCTAACCAAGTTCCACCTTCTTTTCCAGATTCCATATCAATACCTAAATATAAATTAAAATAAATTTATATATAAGTATAAATTTATAAAAAAATTTATTACTTATTAACATATAATAACATATAATAACATATAATAATATAATATTAAAAAAAAGAATTATTATAATTATTATATTGAGAAATATTATAAATTAATTTTAAAAGTAGTTTTAACTTACCTCCTAAACATACTGGATGATTTTTCCAATAATGAGCTGGTAATGCTGCACGTTTAAAATATTCATCACGATTTGCAACCAAAATCAATCGATATGATTCAGAATTAGCATTAGGATTACGGTAAATAAATAAAATACACATAGTTGTATCAAATTCCTTCAATGTTGCACAGCAATATCTACTTATATCTTTTGTTTTATATCACTTTTATATGCTATTTATTATTGATAAGATTATTATATGTACATTTTTCAATCATAAATTAAGATAATATTCTATAATACTTTTTTATTGATAATTAAAGATAAATTAAGATATTCTAAACATCTGATACATTATATGATAAATAAGAAATCAAAATTACATATATTTTTTATTAATATATAATTTTATAAAATAAAACAAAAAAATTAATATATTTTTAATTGTAATTATATTTATTATATAATGTGTATATATAGCAAAGTAATATATAATAATATTATATTTTATTATTTAATGTTTTATATTTTTGAAATTATTTTTTAAAACTAATTATGTACAAAATATATAATAATAATATGTATATAAATATATATAATAATAAATGTATACTATATATACATATTTAAAATTATGTTTTATATATATAAGAATTTACGCACTTATAAAAATGATACAGCAAAAATTCAGACATTACGTACATATTAAAGACGCACGAAGACTATTATCTCATGTCAATATTTACATATGATTTTATATGAAATCTTAATTATTGATATATTGCTTATTTGTTACATTATCATGGTCTTCTATTATTATATTTATTATACATTTATTCTATTATTATATTTATATATTTATATTTTAAATATTTAATTATATTTAAATAAAAATAATTAATATATCACAATATACTTAAATATTATTTTACAAGAATATCACTATTAAAATTTCTAGAATATAATTAATACATTATAATAAATAAATTAAATAGTTATACATGTTGATATATAAATATCAATACATATATAATATATTATCATATTTTTAATGCAAAAATATATAAATTTACATACAAAAAAATTTTAACATTCTTTTTATAATAATTAATAATAAATATAATATAATAAATCTTTTATAATAATTAAAAAAAAACTGTTTATAACTCTTTGAAAAATACATTTCTTATAAATTATATATAAATATATAAACTATTTAAAAATTATATTTTTAAAAATAATATTTTTGATAATAAAAAAAATTACGAATTTTATTTTGTAATGTAATTTTTATTATAGATAATAGTACTTTAAAGAGAAATACAAGAGAGTTTATATATGTATAATTTTGTATTTATTATAAATTAAGATTTTTAAAATATTTATTAATTATTCGTTGTTGAATATCTTTCATCAAATTTAATTAATTTTCAGTTAATATATTTTAGTTCAAGATAAGAAATAATATACATTCATATTCATTGTTTTGCATTTTTTTCACATTTTTTTTCACACTATTTGACACTTTATTTATTCTATTCTATTCAAAGCATTAATACTTAAAATTTCTCGTATTCTTAAAATATTCTTAAAATTTCTTATATGCACATAATATAATGTAATAATATAAATAACATATAATTTTAAAGATTTATTAAATATTGATTGTTAAATATTTATGGTTTTATTAATAATTTTTAATAAATGCATTTATTTTCATAACATTGATAAATTCATTATTTTATTAATTATTTCATATAATATAGAAATAATATAATAATATTTATAATATAATTAAATTTTTTAAATAAATTTATATTTCTTAATAGTTGTAGACTAGAATTCACATTTAATTCAATATTAATCAAAATTTAACTCATGTTTATATTTATATTCATATAAATTGATTATTTTAAAAATATAATAAAAAAAAAGTATTTTTGTGTATATATTACTGTATTTGTCTAATACTGTAAAATAAAAATATCATTATATATCATATTAAATAAAATCTTACAAATAAACTTATTAGAGATATAATAAATTTATAAATAAAAAGATTTTTATCATATTAGAGATCAAAAGATTTTTTTTTTATAATATAATACTGAATTTTAGACTATAATTTATACTAATAAATAATAATTAAAAAAATATAACATATATGAAAATAGTATCAAAATAAATATTGTTAAATAAAATAATAAGCAATGTAAAATATTTATTAAAACCTTTCTTGGAACATAGTAAGATTGCAATGTAGCAAAATCTTATGAATGAAAATATGAAATTTATATCTCATAAAATTATACAGTCTTATATCTAGAAAAAAAATTCATAATAAATAAAAATATGCTATAATAAATATAATATAATAAAATAAAAAAAATATAATTAAAAAAAAAAAAGAAAATTTCTCAAATTCTTAATTTGAAATAATTCAATTTTAAAAAATTTGAAAATTTGTATATAATTATATATATTATATAAATTTTATTTTATTTCATAAAATATATTTATAGATCAAAATTATTTCTATCTGAAACTTAAGTTAATATTACAAAAAACAAGTTTTAATAAAATAGTATAATGTAGTTTTAAAAGTACATTTTTCTTATTTATAATTCATAATTTATAACATCAAAATACCCAAAGATTTTTTAACATTAGATGTTTCTGGTAATGAAAGAGCCCATTTTCTTAGACCTGTTAATAAAACTGAACTTGTAACTACAATGGCTCCTCCAACTGAATAAGGATTTGGTATTTCATTAAAAAATAAAACTTGCCAAAAAAAAGCAAAAACTATATCTGCTGATCTTGCTATTGCAACTGGTCCTGCTTGTTCCATTTGTAAAGCTAATGTTAATAATATCTGACCACCAAAACTAAAAAGAGCAAGTGCAACAACTAGAAGTCTGTCAGTTCCACACCGAGGTAAGCATAATGCACCTATAGCCCAGGATATAACTATTGTCTGAATCAAGGCAAATGATCCAAAATTTGTCATAATTACTGAGAAATGAAGGCCTTTTAAAGCTCGCAATAAAATATATGCATTTGCACCAAAAAGAGTTGCTGAAAAAGCTGCTATTGCTCCCCATAAATCTGCATGTTGTGTTTTTACATGTCCATCTGAAAGTGATTCAATAGTATGTCCAAAGATAAGGGGTGGACGCGTTATTAAGATTACGCCAATCAATGTTAAACAAACTGTAATAACATTGAATAATCCACAAGGTTCTTTTAAAAATATTCTTGCAAATATAGCTACAAATACAGGAACAGAAAATACTACAACAGATGCATCAGCTAATGGCATATGCCGAAATGCATAGAAACTTAACATGAGACCAGTAGTCCCCACAAAACTTCTTAATATTAACATCAATCTACGACCCTTTGGAAATGGATGTTCTCCTTTATATATTACAATTGGTATTGCTGGTAGTAATACACCCATAAATCGAAATGCTGCCAATTCCATTGGATTTACTTCAACTAAGCCCTTCACAATAACACTGCATAATGAAAAAAATAATGATGATAATGTTGCTAAGATTAAACCAAGATAAGGGCAAGATTTACACATTAGAATGGAAAATCTTTTTTGTTGTATTATTGTATTACTTTCAGTATCACCATCAAGTAAATGATGCAATTCAACATGTTCTGACATGTCTGAAAGAAAAAATAAATTTCAAATACTTAAATCTTTTAAAAAATAAAAAAAGAAGTTAGCTAATAAATTTATATAAAATAACCATATATAGTTATAGGGAGATAGAAACTACAAGAATAAAATATTACTAAAGGAAAATTTACTATTAAGAAATATTGAAAATTATGATATTAAACAAATTTGTTTATTAATAATTAAATAATATAATAATAAAATAAAAATGAAAAATGGTTTATTGATAAATTAAAGTGAATTTGAATATTTATAAATTTATTTTTCAAATATATTTATTTTTTAAATATATTTGTAATATTAATTAATAATAACCATATAGTTGATTTTGTTATTAAATATTATAACTCACCTGCAATAGATTTAATAAACGATTAATCACAGCATATAGAAAATACTAGTAAAATTATAGAATAAATAATTAGTGTAATACATTTATAAATTATTTGGAAGACTAATTTATTTTAAAAATTCTCATAACACATTTTTAGTTTATTGTTAATGACAATATCCGTCACATTTTTCAATTTCTATTTTAATTGAAAGATCACGTTGTTACTTGCATGAAGTAAGCAACTCATATCTATATTTCACTATCAATAAAAAGGATGTATTTAATTTATATTATATATTATCTTTGGATAAATACTACTTTTAAAATGTTTCTGTAAAATTTTAAAGAGTTTAATTTTAAATAAATAAGAACTATTTTAAACAATTAATAATAGAAGTTAATGCATATCTTAATAGTATAAATTCACTTTTTATCAAGTTACTAGATTAAGAAATTTTTTAATAATTAATAAATATTATTATTTTTATTAATTTTATTGTTATATTATATTTTAATATAATCATATTTCATTCAAATATATTTAAATTTAATATTATCAATAATTTTAAATCAAAAAATGTTTATCAAAATAACAATATATTTAAAATAATATTAATAATAAATAAGAACAAAACATTTTACATTAAATATTATTTTAAATAATATAATATGTAAAATAACATAAATATATTATATAAACTTAAAATTTTTTATCATAATTTAGAAAACAAAAGAAAAAAGGAAAAAGATTTTCATAATAAATATATACATTTCTTAAATAACATAATAATAAATTAGTATTAAAAAAATAATAATTTAAAGCTAAAAAAAAATATTGAGAATAAATATAATGAAAATTATTTAATGAAAGTCAAGATATTTAAATTAAAATACAAATTATTTTCATTTGAATTTCGCGGAAAATTAAAGATGGGTGGAGTCGATTTATTAATCTATTCTTATAAGATATGTGTGTATATCTAATAGAGATGGATTAGATTAGAATAAGTAGATTTTATTATTACTTTTTATTATTACGTTATTATTTTTCAAAATAAAATTATAATAATATGATATTGAATTATAAAAACATAAGAAATATATTTACGAAAATATGCATATAATATGTATGTTTAAATTGTATATTTAATTTTCTTAATTTTATCGTATAAAATTTATTATACATTAACATATATTGATAATTTATTTACTTTTATTCATTATAATTAAATATATAAAATTACAGATATTAGAAATATTTAATATACAAATTACAGAAATATTTAATATATATTGTATAATATTATTTATATTATATATATTTGTACATATACACAAAATATTATACATATATATTGAGATTTTAAATAAGTTTTGAAATATTTATATTTT